GAAAACAAGCATTAAAATAAAAATAAAAATAAAGGATGTTGAAGAGGAGTGTTATGTAAACAGAGCAAGGCAACAACCTCTTATCCGATTTCCTCCTGCCAGATAAGGCTCCAAATACTGCAATATCTGCATCACGTAAGCCAAGGCCATGATCACAAGAACACCCTTTCCAAGAAGCTTTTAAGCCTGTCAGTTGTCCACAGGGCTCAGCAAGCTGGCCACAGCTGGAGCAGTTATATTGCCATCATTACGTGCAGCTGCTTCAGTCCTCATTTAGAATGGATGGGGAATAACTCTGTCTGGTTGTAGGGACCTAAAACCACCCAGAAGCCTTAAAATGCTCCAGTTTTTCTGTAAACCCTCTTCGTGTCAGTAGAGGGTGTAGGTTGGGTGCCTCTCATGAAGACACTTTGCAGAAGACTAAACACTGTGGAGTGGCTGTAGTGGTTTATGATCAGTTTGTAGTGAGGTTTTCATGAGGAGAAGACCTCTCATCCTCTCTTTGGGACACCTGAATCCCCTAATGAAATCAGTCTTCATTGATACCAGCCTAATTTCAGTATTAAGAAAAGCTACTGACTAAGAATAAGTCAGGCAATCAATCAGACTCTGATATTTTCATTCAATATATGTGGGCTCGGACACAAAGCAAAGACTCAAGGTTTTCTAGGTATATAGCTCTATTTTTACAGGGCTACCAGCCCACTAATTTTCTCTGGATCCTTAACAGACTCATCCCTCTTATCTGCAGTTAAACCTGCTGTTAAGCCTTTCTCTGTGCAGGTAGTTACAATAGCAAAATATATTATATTATTCATAAATATAATACAGCATTAAGGCATATATAGGACTGAGTTTAGTCTAGAGTCACCAGTTCAGAATAACATTCATATTCCCCCTTAGTTTTCCTTTAAGACTAACTGACCACTTAACTAAACCTCTATTGCTCACTTGCATGTGCAGGCTCCTCTAAGAGAAACATCCTTGGGAAGTTCTCTATTTCTGTTGCATTTCATCATCATCCTTAGGACTGGTTTATAATGTGCCCCTATTTATAACTGAGTTTTATAAGAAGAAGCAATCATTTTGCTTGAAGGTTAATAGCCCACCATTCAAGGGGAGTTTACATCTGCTGGGCTCTCTTCGGCTGTGTGAAGAAAGGCAGGCAATCTGCTGCTAATCCAACATAAATACCCCTGGAGTCAGTCTGGAGTGTGGCATCAAAAACATTTACAAAACTTGAAATTTGAATAGAGCTTAAAACCTCATAACCTGTCAGCTCCCAGCCGTGGAAAATACTCACAGGCTGCCCGTGTTGGGAATCTCGGTGCCTAGAAATTTGCTTTTGAGCAGGGAGCAGAGGTGCAAATTGGACATTACGGAGCTAGCTCTGCTCAGTACATTAACACAGCCTATCCAGGGGCTTCTTCAAGGCCCTGTGGGGATTAAATGGAGAGAGGTCACTACAGAATCTGCATGCAAAATGCTAATTCAGCAGTTTTCTGTGCGCTTCTAAGCTAGCTAGCAAAGGGGTAAACATGGGAGCAGTGGAAAAATCGCAATAAAAGGACAATTCAACAATCTTTTATCCATAAAGCTCATACCATGAGGTTCCTAGTGGCCATGCCAGCAGAAACACACTTGAAAGCAGCTCCAGAGTTAACCCCCAAACTAGACCCACATGTCTGCACTCTGGGGTGAATTGCTGGCATTTGTGCCAGGTTCTCCACAGGCCTTAGGTTCATAAATCACAGTTGTCACCCCGTTTTGTGGGTTGAGGGAGCTGAAAAAGCTATCAAGCAGCACCATGCAGCCTCGAGCTTTGAAGCAAGGCTCATCCTGCAAGCATGAGGTTGTGATATTTATCACCTCACTAAATGAGTAACTCTAGACTGAATCTGGAAACTTTTAGGTGGACTCTGTTTAGAATAAGGAATTATGAGCAAAATATAATCACTTTAATGGACACTGAAATTAGCAGTTATCGCTCATCCTGGTATGCCTTGGTTTATTGTTCCTGAAATCTAAGCCATGCAGCAAAGCAGTCTGTTTATATCATGGTCTGTGCACGAGGGAGCTGTAGCAACCAGCAAGAGCTCTGTGCAATGCAGTATATGACAAGGTTTAGCTCGGAGAGTCGTATGTGATGGGAACATCAAATTAGGGTCAGTATCTTCGAAGCAAAAGGCTCTCTGGTAGGGAGAATTCATGCAAGGAATCTCCAAACCCTGAAGAATGAACACGTGTCCCCCATAGAATGGTTATGGTTGGAAGAGACCTTCAAGACCATCAAGTCCAAATCTCCCTCAGTTGAAGGACATCTGCAGAGAGCACTGAATCCAATAAAACTGTTGGGATTTGCACTGTATTTTTCTTCTGAACTGGACCCAGAAAAAGAAGCTCAATACAGATTGTTACAAAGATTTTTAGTGAACCAGACGGAACCTCTCCTCTCTGAGGGACTTTTCATGGGTAGGGCATATAAAGGCCAGGCTGAAGATGCAGACTTCTCAAGAACTGTTTAATTTGAGATTTCTCCCTCTTGCCTGCCAGAGATCTCCTCCATTCCCTTTGGGTGGGATTAACACACTTAGCCATTACACTATACACTCAAGCACATGCGTTTTATTTTGTTATAAACAACCTCCTTGCATTGAACTCAAGACTTTCTAAGTTGTCATCTTTTCTTTGACTATAAATTTTACGACCCCGATCAGAGGAGCTGCAGACAAAGCAGTGCTGAAACTCTGCTCCTCACACCATTAACCTCCTCAACCTCCAAGCAGCACTGAAGCCAGCAGAGCATTTCTCCTAGCCATTGCCCAGGCAGAAGGCTTTTGTTTTCATCTAGGTCCATACTTTTCATGAGTTTTGTGCACATGCAAAGGGCAACCCCAGCTTGCTTCAAACCACTTTGCTTCATCTCACCACCATCTTACTAGTCAAGCTTCCTTGACTGCTGGTAAAGCCCCATTCTGGGACATTCAGAGCTCAAAGAGTCCATGCTGATGCACAGGAAAACCTCTTAAGCAATGACTCTTCTTGCCCTGAGGACAAGAAGAGATGATCAAAATCCCACAAGCTTTCTCCTGTTGGTGGTGAACTCAGGACACACTCAAAAGAAACAATGATCTATCTCATCCTAAGGAATGCATAGGGGTAAAATGCAATGGGGTGAGAGGAAGGCGACTGCAGAAGGTCGTAAATCCCAAAACAAAGTCAGACAAACACTTTTAGTTCTACAACAAAATAAATATTTTAACTCCGATTTACCAAGAACAGTGAGACTTTGGTCAAAAAAACCCATAACAATGTACATTGAATGTCACAACACACTGATTTTGTTGCTGTAAGTCATATATGAAACAGCCCCATTTATTACAAATATTCACACAATATAGAGTAATACATGTTGGGATATAGGGCCCTTGCCCTGACTACATCTACTCCATTAAAACCCAATGTAAACAGAACCTTTGCTGATAGCGTTGGTGATATTCATGTGTGCTGTGTGCTTTCTGAAGCCCTCAAATCATGACTGGGCTCCTTGCTATGCCATCTGCCAGGGAAGCACCATAGCTTAGGCTTAGAAGTGCATTTTCCCCAAAGGATACTATAAAAAGTCCATAGAAATTGCTAACATGGATTGTGAAACAAGAAATAAGTCAGCGTAATATACACCCTATGGCAGTTCCTATATTTTAGACAGTCACACAGATTCAGCTAGAAGTTTCATTCTACTGACTAGAAGAATGAATTTACCTGTGTATGGAACAGCACTATTAGATTATACCTGCTACTCTCTGCTCTCTCTTCCATTAGGTACCATTGTACCACATTCTTAGCAAAGGGAAAATACTATTTCGTTTTTCCCTAAAGATTTGTCTCCAGGTATTTAGAATAGAGATGAAAAAAAAGCAGTTTCCACCACATTGCAGCAGATTTTTCCGTAACTCTTGAAACAAGACATCCTTTTGCAGCAATCTCAACAGCAGTATTATTGAAGTTTGTAAAAGCAGCATATTTTGATCATTCTGACCTACAGACACAGCAACAAGTTTTGCAACAGATCTTACAAGTCTCCCGGTGTCCTCAGAAGTCTCCGTTTCCATCGCATGAAGGTGTAATGGTGATTCAGTAGACCATCCAAAATTACAACGCCATACAATGGATCTCCTCTTCACCATGGACATCCAGGATCAAGTATCTGGATCCACTTTTGGCCTTGCTACTACCTATTTATCGGATTGTTATCCTGACATCTCCTAGTTAAGTTCCATCAACAGAGCCAAGTCTAAAGGGGAAAGCTACAGAGGTACATGAAATGAGTGTTTTATTTTGATTTGTTATTACAGAGTTGTTAACCACATCTTGGGCAACATACTGACTGATGCGTGAAGTGTTAATGTCTTTCGACTTCACTAAGATGAGTTTATAGCCTGGTGCTACAGGGAAAGCTGCTTTTGAGGATCAGCTCTGTATACTTATATTTGCAAATGGAGACTTGAACAAACCCAGAATTTGGCTTTCATAAGGTCTTTTACAACCTCCAAGAGCTCAGCTAGACTTATTTGACCCTGGGCACCCATAAAAATAAGCCTCATCCTAGGTTTTCTTTCATTATTTCAATGCAAACAAGCACCATAAACAGGTGCCATATCTGATCTGAGGCTGCTATTCTTGCTGTCCTTGCCTGCCTTTTGGTTCTAGTGTAATCTGACACATTTTTAAATGAATATGTGGCCAAAACCAAATCTACATCTTACTAAAACATAAGAATACATGTTGATCATGATCAAGCTGGTACCCTCGCCTGATAAGTCCTTCCCCTTCATAAAAACTATGCAGGCAACAAAGTATTCAGTTACATCAGTAGATCGTGGAAAAAAAGAACCAGCTGAAAAGTTCAGGCCTTGAATTCACACCTGCAAAGTGGGCTTTGAGATTCAACATGCCTCTTTCCAGGTATATTCTGAGCTGAATAAGACAGAGCACCTGCACCTTTTCCAGCTGTATGAAAAACAGTTTTGCTGGCAAATCCTTGTCTTCTTCCTCCACAACACACAGAATATAGCCTCTACTTTACTTCTCATCCGAATCCTTCATTTACAAACTCAAATATCGCAAAAATCAATGCCAAAGACATGCTAATTACAAGTGTTATTGTGACCACATTAAACAAATTCCAAACTTCAGTGTATTGTTCAGTGAGCATCTGGTGAAGCAAGTTGAATAGTATAGAGTTTGTTTCTGATTCATAAAAGCATGGTTTTATGAAGAACTGGTGTGCACCTTGAACACCCATGAAAGCAAGCTGAAGTGTCTGCAAAAGAAAAGGCTCTTCACTGTGTTTAGAAAGATGCCAACAAGTTACAGGAAGCAGTCCTCGAGGGTCAAAGTAAACATTTCTTCAGTCAAATATATACTGCAAGGCTCTAATTCGTATTCTTCCCTGCTACACTGCTGCAGATGTTGATGTTACACACCCATTAACATGCCCATGAAATCTGATCCATTCTGGATGGTGACAGGAGCTCCTGCGCCGTTGTCCACAAATATGGAGGTGTATTGACCAGCCTGTCCAGAAAGAACAAAAGGGAACAAAAAAATGACACTTCAGCCCAGTGTTATACAAGAAATAAAAGTATTTCAGTACCACCAGCTGAGCATGGCTCCCTGTCCTTTTCTGTGATTCCTGGGGATAGGCTCTGATCATTCATTTTCATTGAAGCACTGATGATTTCACTTGGTGGAAGAAACTTTCTGCTGTGAAATTGTGCTCTAGGTTTAGGACTCAAGTAGGTCCTTAATGCACTGGGCTCTGAGTGACTGCAGTCAAGTAACCATCCCTGTTTCAGATCCCACTCCATGAATTACTAATATGACAGCCCTCATATTGACAGGGCAGGACATCTGAATGGAGATTTGAGAAAGAAAAATATTTATTCTCATTTTTTAAAGGGAAGGTTTCTACTGTGCTTTAAGAGCAGAATGTGCAACAGAGAAGTCTGGCTTTTGTTCCTGTCCCTGTCGTAGATTCTGTCCAGTCACCCCGGGCAAGTCATTTAGCCTCTTTAACCTTAGAAAGGAGGCTAATAAAAACTTCTCCTGCCTCTTGGTGGAAAGTCACCCATACCAGAGCAGTGCATTGATTCCAGGTCTGTGAAGGTTACCTGCAGCTGCAGTAAGCCATGCACGTAGACAGTGAAGATTTTGCTGTTACTTTCCAGACCAGCAATGACTTCCAAGGACCTGAACAGTAGCAAAACAAAGGTAGAATAAGCAGGATTAGCAGCTAAGGTTTGGAAAGAGGACAGTGGAACCATGTCCACTACACTAACCTACTGAAGACCTACTGAGTTTACAGGATTGTGCATCTGAAACAACGACAGACTAGGAGCCTCCTGTCACAGAGGCCTTTCTGAAGGTCCTGTGGTCTCCATCTCTCAATCTCTCACACTTTACATTTATCTACACATCACATCCAACTGCTTGCTGTCCTCAGCAGCTTATACTCTTGCTATTCTACAAAAAGCCTTGGTATATTTATTTGGTCAATATATCTTATGAGTGGAAGGAGGTGCAAGACAGCAACCATTGGAATAACCATATAAGCACAGCTCTAAAGCAATATAAAAAGCACAGAGATCCTTGCCTGGCTTGTTCTGCTCATATCTGCCATGGCAGTGGATAGCAGCTCTCCTTTTCCTTTCTTTTTTCTCTCTCCATGAAGGGGCAATGACAAAACCTTGTAACTGCAAGTGTGCGCTGTTTCCAGCCCCTTTTCCAATAATATGCATGTGAGGCAGGGGCAGCTTGGCCCAGAGAGAGCAAGACACTTGGCACCAGCTCGATTGAAGAGCTCAGTCTATGTATCACATCCTGCCAAAAGCTTAACTTGGGTGGGAACTTCCCACCATTAATCTCTGCTACTCTTGACTGTCTCCTTGCCTCTCAGTTTCCATTTCCCTCCTCTGAAAGCCCTCAGGGCTCTTTCAACTCCCTAAAATGAATGACTGTGTACATAGACATCCTCAGGAAATTCCACAAGTGCTGGTAGCAGCTCAGCCTGAGCCGGTAGAAGGTCTGTCCAGACAGGTTCCCATCCCTCCACCCACCTTCCTTCCACTTCACAGACCAGGCATCTCCTCACCCACCATATGAGACGAGAGAGGTCTCAGAGGTAGGACTGATGCCGCTTTGCTGTCACCGCTGCTCAACTCAGTGCAGGACAGCCTTGGAGGACAACAGTTCATACATGGCTAGCCTGGGTAGCTGATGACAACTCTGAGTCAGAGACATCACAGAGCTTGCACTCCTCTAAACAACCGTTATTTAGGTTGGCCTTGACTAAGCGAAAACAAAAATAAAGTTACTGCTACTGTTCTTTGGAGAATGCGGCTATAAATTCTTCAAAATGGCAAACTACAACCAGGCCTGGGTGACAAGAAGGTTGTTCACACATATCCCAGCTGGTCCCAGAAGAGTTTGTTTGGAGCTTATGGAGGAAAAACCCTGCAATGTAGGAAGTCATGGTCCTTTCAATGACCTGCAGGAAAGCTTCCTATTCAGCTGAGGCTAAATCCTATTTCCACAACGTACTTTGGTTAAGTTGTGTTTACAAGAACAAGGAAGCAAGGGTAAAGCCTAGCAAAAAGCAGTCAGAGCCTGACATCCATTCTGCAACAACGGTGCTGTAAGGATGACTAAGACGCACAGCAAAGGGAAAACAGACACACAGAGATGGTGTCCTTGGAGTGAACAGTGTGCCTCCCAGAAGAAAACCATGTTTTTTGCTCTCTGGTGCCTTCATCAAAGCAGGAGGAGTTTGGGGAAGCAGGTAAGAAAGGAAAACTCTCCACTGGTATCTTCTTCTAGTTATCGAAATGGTTTATCTTTCCTGTTTGAAAAAAATGTATCTACTGTCAATTATTTCCAAAGTGCTTCGAGCTCTAAAAATATCAGGTCTTTAAAACAAACAAATCTCAAGCCAACACACAATGATTTAATTGGTTCTATAAATCAGAGACTTGTTTTCAAGTAATAAGCAGGGGGTTTAAGAAATATTCTGAAAATAGCTTTCTGATGAAGATATAATCAGAACCTTTCCCATTAGCTCAAAATGCATAGATGCTTAAAAATGACAATCAGATTTCATCTAATATTTAGGCAATTGCTTTCAGCTATCTCAGTTTCCTTGTAGCACTCTAAACCTCAGAGAAATCAGGTCGTGTGTTACTTGAAAATTGGATTTAGGTCCTCTGTATTAATCTGTAACCGAAGACAATGTAAAGCAGAGCACTAAACAAGAGGAATGGCTCTTTTAGGAATAGGAATTTCCTGTTCAAGTGGCATCGGACAAAAATAATCAAGAAGTCAGCATTGCAGTAACTCACGTGTATCGGTGGCAGAGGGATTCAATGCAGATCAACACTCGGATGTTGTCTCTGGCTCGGAGCTGGATTTTACTCTTCAACTCACTGTGGTCTTAGGAAAGCAGTGGAACAAAAATGAGCACTTTTGCAACATAGCTGACAACAATCTGCTGGTGTTTGGCTTAACAGAATCACAGAAGCTGCAATAACATTGTCGTTTCTTAGGAAGGCACCCTTAAAGCATCACTGAAGGATGGATATAATTGGAGGAATGCACTGGCACATCACAGTTAAAACTGACTGAATTCGTCTCTACCCCATCACGTTTGTTCTTTCTAAAATCTTTTATTGGCTTTTGTAGACCAAACTCACCAATGTGGATGTTGGCTGAAAACTGGTAGATTCCAGACACAGGTGCTGTGAAACGTCCTGTTGCCAAATTTAAGCCTGTCCCCCGAAGAAAAGCTCCTTTAGCCAGAGGCTATAAAATAAAATAAAAATAAGCTGTTGATCCCCAGCAGCCTCAACAATTACATCAGCCTACAACAAAAAGAAAAAGCTAACATGCAGGAAGATAGAACTGGAAAAAAATTGCCATATCTCACCAGAATGCACCTTATTAATGAACTCTCTCTAAGCATCTGATGCCCCCACCAAAAGGGAAAATTATCTGTATCAGGTTTGAAGATATCTTTATTATTCACTCTCCAACTTGGCTAAACCATCTTGTCTTTACCTGTTGAGGAATCAAGTCTTTCAGCAGCAGCTCTGTTACCCTCTCTCAGACCTGGCGTATTGCATCCCTAACCTCTGCTGGCCCAAGTGGCCACTAGCCTCCACTAATGGTCTGATATGCAGTATTCCCATTTTCTGAGTCAAGGATTCTCTCCAAATTTCAGAGGTTTTCGAGATGAGTCCAGTAGTGTCTTCAGGCTTAAAAACCTGACATCTCATACGCTATTTTTGTGATACAGAAACAGAGGAAAATCATATTGGTCTCCAGAGGTTGTCTACTCCCTTCAGGTCTAAGTCAGGCTGCTCTGATGCTGTTAAACAAACACCCTCTTGGATTCTTACAGATTCCATATTTAGCTTCTCCTCTTCTGGCCTTGAATTCAACAGAACAGGCAAAATCCCAGTGAAACAGCATGTAGCATCTCCTTATGGCAAGGAAGCTGTCTGAAGTCAAACTTGCAGCAGATTATCTGACTTAGGCTAAAATAAACTCTGTGTGGAGTGTTTATTGTTAGTTTTGGCCTGCTTGATATGGGTTTGGCTGGAGCTGTGAAGAAGCAGCACTTGGCTTCAGAGGGCCAAGAAAGCGGATTTGTCAGACTCTGCTTCCACCATAAGGGCAATCTGTGCAGTGTAGATGCTCCCCCAAGAGTGCTCTCCTGAGATGTGTCTTGCATTGATCGTGTGGGACAGAAGAGGTGGTCAGACCTGTCTTTTTGAAGATATTCACACATGGTATATTCTATTATATGCACGAATGCATAACTGGGTAATGTCTTGCATTGATCGTGTGGGACAGAAGGGGTGGTCAGACCTGTCTTTTTGAAGAATATACACATGGTATATTCTATTATATGCATGAATGCATAACTGGATAACCTCTATAGATCTCAGCAGTCCAGCATCTGAATGCACTTACAAACAGAAGAGGTAGAGAGAGGCCAGAGACATGGTGCCAGAATTGGTAGAAATGCTGCTTTAGATGCTCTTAACATTATAGAAAAGCAGTCCTGGAACTTTGTTCAAGTATTGGAGGGAAGTTAAATGCCTTCCCATTCTGAATGATCATGGCCAGAAATGGCAAGTTTTCACAGTGAAGAACAGGAATTGTTTATTCAGCTCTGTCTTTGAAACAAAGCTAAAGATAACTGGGTATAGATATTTGGATGTTTGCACATCGAGTTGCTACACTGCAAAAGGACTGAAATCACTAACCTGCCCTTATCCAGCAAGTCCCAAGCAAGACTCACAGAAGAATAATCCCCAGCTCAAGATCCAGCTAGTTTTAAATTTTACAAAACTTTGCTAGAAATGTTGTGTGTGCACATACGGTAGTGAAAATGCATCCATGGACAATAGCGATTGATTTTCTCACTACAACAAATGTGTATAATGAGGAAAACACAGACAACAGACTGCAGAACAAATAGGTCTCAGACCATGATTTCCAAGTCCCTTTATTTATCCATGTGCACTGGTGTGTGCATATACACACACACATAAAAAGAGCTCTATGTTCTTTACACATGCTCACACAGTATAACAGCTACCATAATTGCAAAGACTATGAAATGTTATTGATTCTCTTCTTATGCTATCACCACTCCATCACTTGCGATAGCACTATTCTCGATTTACACCACTGTGAGAGCAGATCCAAGCCTGGTATGTGCAAAACTGTCCCATGTAGTTAATCCATTCCTTTCTTGTTACAGCTATTAACAGAATCAGCAGCCTAATTCCAAAACCACTGGCTGAGCATGGAAGGCAATTTTAGACACCAGTAAATTATCACTGATAAAGCATTCCTGTTTCTTCATGCCCTCTGTGGATTTGTTATTCTTCTGCTCACAGAAGTAGACAATGCAAAGCTCTGAGAAAAGAGAGTTTTTTTCTGGGCAAAAATACTCCTTTAAACTCCATGCCAGTTAGGGCTACCCGCTGCATTTGCTGCTTTACATCCGCACACTCACTTAGCTGCTTCAAGTGCTGCAGGAATTTTTATCCGAGAAACTACCACCACACACACTTATTTCAACAAGTAGCTCAAAAACAAGTAAAGAAGCTGGTGTACAAACACTCTCTGCAAATCCATCTGCCATAGATGCTTAGTCTGATCTCAAGAGCATAGAGATATCAGAATTTTTGTGATCTTTCAGGAGAAACTGCATATGGGCCACATTAGCCTTAAATGGCTCCAGTGATATTCCTGGGCCTCACATAAAACCTTCTCCCTTAGCCTGTCACAGGATACATTTCCTTCAAATCTTATCATGTAAAGTATATTTCTGAAAGCATTTGCAAGCAGCAAGTGCCAGAAACCTTAAAGACTGAGAGATGGGAGAAGTATCAGCTGTTTCATTCCACATACCAAGGAAATCATGAGACCGAGAGGAAGAAGGAATCTTGGAGGAGAAATAGCAAGGAAGGACAAGAAAACCCTCAAGCTCTCCAACTCCTCTAGGTGACAGAGGGAGCAGACTCAGACAACAGGGTGTAGGAGAGTTGGCCTTTTTCTAGCACACTTATCTCAGAATGTTTTGGAGCTAGTCCAAAGCCAGAATAAGATTCATTTCCTATCATTTATTTCCTATCATTTCAATAGGAAGTATCAAACCCTTGGTTCTCCACACTGTTAAACTGATAGGACAAGGGTAGAGAAATTCTCTCTCTGCTTTGGACTTTCTAAAGACAACAGTTCCATTTTTGCAAGAGCATCCACTGTCTCTCTCCCTGTTAAATTCACCCTGTATCAAGAGCACAAGCTAAAACTAGACACTTCTTGTCCCAAAGCTGAAGGGCTGGCATCCAGAGGCTTGCCAGCCCTCCCACATCAGCATCAGGGCCAGGAGCAATTAGAAAGCAGCTAGGCACATGATAACGAAGCATGGGAAGCATCAGCCTACGCACCGATTGCTGAGATGTCTTTATTCACATTTTTCCTACTAATTAATGAGGCAGCACATCTCTCTAGCCTTGCCCACACTTCAAGTACAATCTTGCGTCTGTGCAAGCACCAAAGTGCTGTCAAACCAGGCTGGTGTGTCTGGGAAAGTCTTTCTAAAAGCAGAGCTACTCCATGGGGAAGGAACTGCTGGACAGGACTGCAGAGACCTGCTAGGACAGTGTCAGCCAACACTGCTTATAGAGAGCAACATTCCCTGTTCACACTCTGCAAAATCATCTTGTCACATCTACATAAACGCTTTGTGCTATTGGAAAGTCTTTTCTGATTGCAAAGTCCAAAATAAATCTTCTCTGCTACCAAGTAACTATTTTGATTTAGCCAGTACTTTCACCTAATGTTTGTACTTCAAATTCAGGTCTTGTTTGCAATTGGTTCATAAGGGGTTTGTAGCAGTTACAATAACTTATCAAACACAAGAGGCTGCTTTTAACTATGCTTGTAATGACCTACACCATCCTCTCATGAAATGCTTACCATTATACCACGACCAAAATGAACTGGTGTAGGTAACACATATTAGTCCTCTGCAAGACATTATATATAGAATTTTATCACCCATCTAACAAAATAACAGCTCTCATCTAGCTCACCAACCTATGTTGAGTGAATTTTGTCTGCCTCTGACATTCTTCCACCTCTGAAAGTTTCTCTGGAACAAAATAGGGTGTGCACTGAAAACAGAACAGATCCTTCAGACTCATGTGGACAAGTCTGTCTCTCCTACCAACTGAAATGAAGTGACTGACTGTTGTTTGGACCTGCGAGACAGCTCTCTCTTGCACAGACCTGTTAGCCCTTTAGTAAGAACTGTAACGATACTCAACCAAGCTGCAAGAGAAGAAGAAAGTCTGTCTCCAGGTTTGTCAGGAAGGAGTTTTCTCGAAGCTAAATGCTTCTCCTCCTGCAGCTGTGCATTAGGGCTGCAACTGCAATATGAGATGCCACCTCTGTCAACTCCAAAAAAAATAGCGCTCTATTCACAGCATCCAGACCTGAGATGAGCTTCTGGGATCAGGTCTCCCTTTCAGGAAACACCTTCACCTACAGAAGCTCCTGGCAGCTCTGCAGCAAGGGGAGCTACCGCTGATCCACGCACGATGGCTCTTGTGGAGCTGCACGGGTTCAGCCTGTGACTCCCACTCACCGACTGGAAGTTCTGAAGTTCCACCAAGGTCTTCTTATCCACAACGACCTGGCCTTTGAGCTTGCAATGGAAGGCCTCCTCTACACGCCTGTGGGGTGAAACCTCCTCCAAGGAGAGCAGGAGTGGAGGTAGCTGGCTGGGATGGGCTGAGATGGCCAGGGATGCCCGACGCTCGATGGCTTCTGAGAAAAAGTAGAGGAAGAAAGACTCATTTAAGACCTAGTCTATGAAGCCACTACTTGTATGACTAGACCTCTTCTCTACACAGAACCCTTATATTTGGACTAAGCAGCACTAGGGATTATTTATTTATTTCATTGCCAGCTAAGGGAATGCTTTAGAGTAAACATTTGCAAAGACAGATCCTTTTTTTGCAATGATGTTTACTGAAAGAAATAGGTCACAGAAGCAGAAAGGTCTTAGGATCTTTACCTTTTAATATGTCCTTAAACTCCTGCAGAAGGACTTCCCGGGTGACCTCAGCACCGGGTGCTCCAGGAGGTCCTTGGGGGCCAGGAGGTCCCGGCGGCCCAACAAGGCCACGCTAAGGAAGTAGCCAAGGAAAAATATCAGAATTAGAACCAAGCAATTTCACTGACACCCTGAAAATTCTGTCACCTACGAGCCAGGCCTACAAATCTGCCAGCTGCATGGCCAGCCCTTCTCCACTGTCAACCCATCTAAAGGACTAATGCAGTAAACCTAAAACCGGCTCTCCAGCCATCAGTGGATTCCAACACCTGGAATTTACTCACATATTTATGTGGGAGGGTAAATGTCACTTCAGTAAACACCAATGAACACTACAGGCACTTATAAATAGTATGAAGCACAACAGGCACAAGGCTAAGTTTGCTGCTTCTTTATCTTCCAGTATTACCAAATGAACCTTCCAGTGGCCTTTTAAGCTGCTTCGTATTCTGCCTGCCAGCTAACTAGAACAGCCACCTAGCCACACTTTACATTAATAATATATATTGCTTGATGTAATGATCACGTGAAGTATGTGAATGTTTGATTTAACAAGAGAATTCCCCCCAAAAAGGAAACAGTTAATTCAAAACACCTTGAAGAGGTTTTCCACAAAACACATTAGGGGTTTAAACTGGTAATATGAACCTGCAGCAGAGTTATCAATACCCTTTCAATGTATGTTTTTGCTAGGGATTTTCTGTTTCATCCAGTAAACTGCAGTAAACCTGCCTGGAAGCACTTCTGTCTATCTGCTCACCAGGAAGTAAAAGGAATTCATTTCAATCATATTCAGGATTGACTAAGGGTCTGATTAGGAATGATCAGTCATCACTGACCAGATGATCATTAACTCATTAATTTGAAACAAATATAGCTTGTGATGCCCGTATCTTGATTACAATCCATTGAGATGCCTACATTTTATGGTGAAAGCAAAACATTAATTTTCTTTCTAGTCAGCAGAAAAAATGGCTTCTCAGTCCAGAAACAGCTCGTTTAAACAATAATCAATGCTGACAGCGGAAAATGAAAACACAACCTTACGAAGTGTATTAAACATTTATTATCCCAAATTTCTCAAAAATTATTTAAAAAATGAAACAAAAATGTGATTTTTGGGGGTAGAAATGCAAAAGCGGGGAACACAAAAAACACCTTGTGTAACAGCAGTGGAAAGGGAAGCCATGGTGCACATTTGTTAGCTGCTGTCAATCTAGCAATAACCTACTAATTTCTTGTCTTTCCCTTTACATCTCCTTTTGGAGGTGTTGCCATCATCCGGGCGGTGAACAAAGGAGATCCAGGTACGCCGTGGATCTGTGATTCGAGGATCTGGAGACTCTAAAATCTGAGGAGAAATAAGAACAAGGATGGATGTTATTGGGTCCCTTCAGCTGCTAAATGAATTCAGAGAATGCTCAGGCTCCAGACTGTTGTCTGCTGCCTAAACCAGCAGAAACCTTGAAATGCTTCATAGATTTCAAATTATTGCAGAATGACAAATGCACACGCAGAGAAAAAACAAGTCACATGAAAAACAAAGTCCGTGCCTGACAAGAGCAAAGATGCGTGTTCACAAATTTAACTATGTGCCCCTTCCTATTTTATGCAACTATATCACAGCTCCTTAAAGCACTAACCTCCTCTCAGAATACCATTTGATAGAATTTCTGTTACTGCTTGTAAGCATAGATTGCCTTTCATCAAACGTTTGGCAGAATACAGTAGGAAGCAATTCACTTTCAGAATGCAGGTAAAGCTATGGTCCCAATACTTGCAAGATGTGTCACTGCCCCAGTTTGCAAATTTTGCCTTAAATTAACAGGCCAAGATGATATAGAAGAAGGAAAAACAGAGTCCGTATGAAAAATTATTGCAAAATGGGTTCCAGCCTGTGTTTATAAGAAATGCTGCTGTTTGTGAGCTCGTGTAGAGCCTGGAAAGCTCTCTCTGGGGCACGTATCCGGATGCAGTACAATGCATTATTCCATGCAATGCTGAATTCCTGCAAGCATAAGTATTTATTTTAAACACCTTGGACCAATATATGAGTTACAAGCCAGCAGAAGGTGAGCAGTCTCCAAGAAATCACAAATGTGTGTGAGCAATGCTACTTATAAAACATAGATCTGAGCAACTCTGTGAAGCCAACCCTGTATTCTCCATTCCACAGTTTGGGGTGATTTACTGCTCAGATGCAACCCACAGACAGATCAATTCCTACCAAATCTCTCTGTTCAGAGAGTCCACTCATCCTTCCCTCCAGGTAGATGCTGCAAACAGAGTCACTGGTGTCTGTACTCCAAGCCAAAACAAGGCTATCCCGAGTAATTTTGCCATATTGTTCATGCATTCCACTGTAATTAAGTAATTAGTGACAGAGTTATGGTTATCAGGCACACTCCTCCCCCCATGCTCAGATTCAGCACACATCTCTAAACCAAGAGCAAGACAAGCTATTCATGGCATTCATTATTTCTGTACACAAATTAGCCTTGAACAGACTTTTTTGTATTTATAATCATGCTTACCACCACTTGTACATTGAGTGTTTAACCAAGGGTTCTAGTAAGTCGTTTCTTTTAGCTACATTATTTATTTCCTGACTTTACCCACAGCACCCAGAATTTCTTAAAAAGCTTTCCTAAATTTCACTGGAAATGAAGCTCTGTAGAAAATCCCAGGTATTGTAAATTTAAGTTACCTCCAGAATGCTTTTTAATCTTCTCAGAGATTGCATGACTGCTAGTTTTTGCAAAGCATAGGGAAATCAAAGGCATGCTGAGATGTCCTTTGGTACAAAACTCTCCTACTCATCGGCTGTCCTTAGAACAGCGCAAGAGGTACAACATGATTCCACAACAGACAAAATATCTTTTATCTGAATTTCATGGAGGCTTGAATGTTTCTGATAGGAGAATCTAGTTCTTTCCTAGTTTGCTCCTCCTGAAAGCACCTGGGCACAGCACCACCATACAGATGTCTACAGACTTTCTGGAGCAGGAAAAAGGCCGGAGAGCAGAGGTTTTGTCAGAGAGAAAAAAAAGAACAAATGGCACATCCCAGAAAAAAATAAACGATCAAGGAAACTTCTCAAAGTTTAAAACAAATATTAAGAAAAAAGCCCTCTCTCCAGTGGCATCCTTAAATTACAAATCCCTGAGCAAGTCAGCCATGGCACTCCCCAAATTTTCCAGCACAAGCATGATTGACAGTTAAAATGAATGTTCCATCTTTGTGGTATTATTATTTAATTACTATGGCATGCATGAGCAATCCCAACAATAAGCATGCAAGCCTGTATTTTTCTTGGCAGAGGCAGCCTCCAACAGCCAGAGAGAACTTGCAGCCAACTCAGGTATCACTCGGGACTGAGAAGAGCCCTGGGATCCCAGCACAGGAGACTTGTCCCTCCTGGGCTGCTGGTTACAGAGCAAACCTAACCTTAGGGGGACAGGAAAAATTCCCATGTTAAATACAGTGAAATCAAGCTTAGGCCTTAGCACTTGAACCAGTGCCTTGAAAAAAAATCAACGGGAATCTTGCCATTAATCTCCAAGAACATCTTTCTAACCATTCTGGTCCACAGTCTCCATGCCTGAAGTTACTCCCTTGCAAATTTGCTCAAAGATTTATCAATGTATTTGGGTCCTTCAGTCATGAAAGTTAAGAATTCTCTGCTTAATAATTAAGCAACTGTCAGATAGAAAATGGACATACTCAGCATTTAAATCATCTTAACCCACAAATTTCCATGCTGCTATGCCTGATTTACACCAGCAAAGTACCATCAACTCCATTATGAAATTACGAGCAAATGATTTACTTTGGTATTGGTTAAAAAGTGACAGATCACTTTTTTTTTTCTTTTAGCACGAAAAATTCTGTGTCAGCTGCTAATAACTCATGGTTACGCACACTCTTGATTATTAATGAGATGTAAAACCAAGGTCCTGACCACTCGTGGTTTTGTAGAACTCTCAGGAATTTTCCCAAGAGCAGAAGTGTTAGGTTTGGTATCTTAGCCAGATCCCAACTGGAACTCCCATGCAAATTCCTGCTATGTTTTCCTATTGAAAAGTTATTCTTCTCTTCTCTAAACAGGTATCTAAGGCGGCATCTTGCCTCCACTTAAATACAAAATCCCTTCAGTGATCACATCCATACTGGATTTATAGTGAATCAAATGGAACTGTTTGTATGAGCAAGAGGTACTCTGGGTGTGAAGAAAAGATAGTTCTTGATTCTCTAACTGTCCCACAATAGTAATGGATGGTATCAGTGGTATCCCAAAACATAGAGTTTGCAAGCAGAAGTCTACCTTTAGGCAAAGACCTTCTCAGAAATGTAAGGGACTGAGCAGCACTAACAAAACAGATGCAGCAGAAAACATCTAGCCCATGAGAACACACCTAATGTGGGACTGTGTGCACTAATAGTGACATTATTACGGCCAGAACTACATGCACTAGAGCTGCTGACCAATACCCTCAACTAATATTCCACTCCCTGTCCCTCTGCTTTGATAAACCTACCAGTTGGCCACTGAGTCTTCCAAGGTATAAACAGCCTTAATTTTTAGTGTTCAAGGCCTTCAAATATCTATTTTTTTATTATATACTGTAAAGAAATGAAATAGAGCACTACTGTTGCTTTAGATGCCTGTGCAGGACATCTTTTCACTAAACAAAGCTCCTCATAGAAGTATCTTCATGACTCAAAGCAATCAGCCTTGTGGAGAGCGTTACTTTCACCCTTGCTTTAGCTCAGTGGGTTAAGTTAGGACAGCTCCACTATTACATAATTTCCTCCCCATGCAATCAACAGGTGAGTCTAATATTGTATTCAAAACAGGATAGAAAAGTTATGCACATCTCTGCACTGTGGTTGAAGTTCACCCTCTCCATGACTGCCTAACGAGGCCAGTTGCCTCGTCAGGGGTATCGGTTACTGCTCGCCACAAGATAGGAATTTAGTGGCAATTTTTCAAACCACTAATTTTTGCCTAGTCATCTTTGACATCTAGTGCTTCGCTTTGACGTCTAGTGCTTTATTTACTATGGCATTGAAGCTGCTTTCTGTCAACAGCCAGTTGTCTAAACCCAAAACGAGGAGCTGGCCACTTCATCTTGATGCTGCCTAATGCATGGTATGAGGCAGCATCTGCTTCTGTGCTGCAGAGGGGAATAAAACCTTTGAAAATGCCACCTGAAAGATAGGCAACTTTGCAATAATCACACTCCTTTTAGCCCAGGTTTATTAGCAGACACTAGAGAATGTGGCAATTCATAAGAGCTGCCTTTACAGTATATGTAAAATAAACCCTTAGCTGGAGCAGGTGCAATATAAATATAAAATACAATACAGTCATCCATGACATTTAGAAGCAATGCTTAACTAGAGCGTGGACTTCAATCTTGGGGAGATTCCAAGGAGAATAGCTCACACTGCAAAATTTGGAAGTGGATATCAAGAGTTCATGGGCATTTACATCAAAGATTTGGGTTGCTCCCATCTTTATTTTATGGAACTCATCTTTACTGAGCTCTCCAACTCTGAACACCAGCCAAACCTTCACCATGGAAATTTTAAAGCAAAAGTATTTCAATGCAGAAGCTGCTGCTTTCAAATAACATTGGCTTTGACATACAACCACAAGCCTCTAAATGAATATCTTCTAGGAATAATGTGAATTGATGATACCAGAATAAACCAGGACCCGTTTCTGCCTTGCTTTTGCAATCAGAATATATCCTTCTTATTCTGCAATATATTTCCTGTCAGACCAAATTAATCCCAGAACGGACTGCAACTTAGTTACACCAGATAGGGATCTGGTCCCTTGTGCAAAAGAAGAATGAAGCAGAAAAAAAACCCTATTTAATCTGAGCACCTTAAGAATTTAACAGGCATAAAACCTGTCCTGACAGAGCCCTGCAATAAATACAAAATTAGTTGAAAAAGTGCTGCTTACAGTTCCCTAATGATCATTTTAAGTGCAGCAGCCAGCCTCTTAATACAGAATACTGTTTCCCAGACTTGCCCAACCTTAACCAATTACTCCCACAGTGGCTCTGAATGGGATATTTAGAATGTCAGCCCAATTGTTTTAACTCGCCCCTTCCGCCGTGCCCCAATTTTTGACAGGTTGGTTCCTGCATTGCTATAGTGACTGCCCTCCCTAATGCTTGTGATCAAAGTCGTCTTTTAGAGGTCATCTCCATTTGATACAAGGGACATTTTTATGCAAGTTGGAGACACAGAAAAGGGGGATGTGTGTTAGGGAAGACTCCCTCCTTTCTCCCTTTTATTTCATCCTGCTTCTAACCCTAGGACTTGCTTTTAATTCTCTAACTTCTCTCCTATTCCCAAGCATTCTAGGTGAATTTTCATCCTAAGATGTTCTGGGAATTCTGATCAATTTTTGACAGCCTTCAGCCATGGGTGATTCTCCCCCTTACTTGGGAGGGTTCTGCAGAATCAGAGCACAGATTAAAGTACCATGCACACAATTTACACAGCTACTTATGTGCAATTAGCCCCGTCCTAGCTCCTTTCCTTCAAGAGCCACTGTCACTTGATGCCTCCTTAAACAGATCTTCTGCCTAAACGAAGTTTTTTGAATCACTGCCACTACAGTGGTAGAAGGTGCAGCACAGAGAAAGCTTAGACATGCTCAGGTGTTTATAATGTGGTGTTTGCATAAGCCACTGCAGACACAATTTTCCAAAGATCCAAGGATTCTCATGCAAGAGATGCACTAATATTCAGTTGTTACAGAAATTGTGTCTTAATGAGCTACAAGCGAACCAGAACCTCATGCATACTCCAAAATAGATTGCCACCATAAATTGCAGTATTGTAATCATTTCTTAAATAAGCTAAAAAAAAAAAACATGCCAAAGCAAGAGAGAGAAAATTTTAAAAAAGAATTTGGCAAGACTGCTTGAACCAATGAAAACGACCCAGAAATGAGGTCCACCAAGTACTGGCAACACATAACCACCTACCTTGGGATGCCCATGCAGTTCCTCACTGTTTGACAGAGTAATATTGAAAGGCTCTGTGTACTGATTAGGTTCTTTCTTCATCTTCCTCTCTCTCTTTGCTGCCATCACTCGGAAGAGGCAAAGCTGCTGGCACAGTAACGTTGCCACCAATACCCAGATGCAGCCCTTCATTTTGCAAAGGGAAGAGCCGAGTCAGGAAGGGAACTCTCCAAGTGCAAAAACTTCCACCAGCAATAGTAGGAATAAACACAGACTTCTCTCTAAAAGAATAATTTTAAAAAGGTTAAAACCATCAGTGATGATCCACTGGGGCACGCAACGTCAAATGAGCAGCAGGTGCAAATACGCTGGTTGCTGGGAAAATCAAGCAGGACACATTGAAAAGGTATAAACTTGTCTAAAAAATCTTATGTTTTTACTTGAAGAAACAATAACTCCACTCAGACCTTTGCAGTTTACATCAGGACAAGAGGCCCCCACCTCGATGTGGCCCTGCAGACACACACCTTGCCCAGTAAATCTTCAGGCTGGATTAAAATGCACACAACTATGAAACCTAGAGAAAGGGCAACAGTTGCTCAGGCCACAGCTGACAACACAAACCCATGAAAATTGGGGGTTTTTTTAGGTTATTCCTCTTCAACAGAAGATTTAGCCCTGTGTACAGTAGTGTGTTGCATCCCAGTCAGAGCAGGGTGGAACAGGCTCCAGCCACCCTTGCTTCAAGGATACCTCCCCTTCCTCAGCAACAAGCTCCCATCTTCTCCTTCCAGGATGCTGGGGCCTGAAGACACTAGAATTTAGTCAAGAGCTGAGTCTTCTAGGAAGCGAATTGATTTCTCACATAGGATAAAAGCAAAAGCAGGCAAGCAAAGAAGCTCAGGATGTACCTAAGTCCATCAGGAGCAGATCAAGTTTGCCCAAGTCTAGTTGCTCTCCCTCTTCGGCTGCCTTTATCTTCCCTTTTCTTTAATGGGATGATGAGCAGTAAATCCCTGTGCTGCAAACAGCTGTCATGACGAGTCTTGTGAGTTTTTCCATCTTCCTTTCCCTTTACGTTAGGAGAGAGTTGAGGTTCCTCCAACTGTAGGTCACCTCGGATTCTTCTCCTTGCTCCTCTCCCCAGCGGCACACGGGCAAAACCCTCCTCAGCCTTCACTTTACCTCGGCAAATAAGTGCTTCTTTCCTGAAAGAGTTTCCATCAACTTGAAGGAGGGGGAGAGGAGGAGGAGGAGGAGGGATCACATTCTAATGAGCTGTCAAGCCTATTCTCTTCACATTCCTATTAGACTCACTGATAAGTGGAGCTGGCCAGTGTGCCAGGCAGATTTAAATCAGTGCCCGTTCCCTCCTACCCCGTTCCTCCCCTTCATTATCTTGGAGAAAGCATCATTTTTTTTTCTGGGAAGTTTGCAAAACTGTACACGGTAGTGCTAGAAATATGTGACTTGGAATACACCACCCAGCATCACAACACACACTCGTACGTCCAAACCCATCTTTTATATTCTAGTTACCTCTGCTCCATACAGCATTTTCCCCTAGGTCTCATCAGAGACTCAGTGAGAACTTTTTGAGTTGAGGGATTTTGGGGGGAGAAGGGGAGGGAGGAGAAGGGGACAACTGGTTATTAAAAAGCAACAGAAAACATGTTACTTTCTCCTACAAACATTTCATAAAGATTTTAAAGTCCTTGGACAGAAACAGCTTATTTTTGCTAGTTCCCCAGAGCCTAGGACAAATATTCCTATTTTTTCCTACAGATGGAGAAAATGAGGCACAAAATAATTGGCATTGCACCACGAGACTCTTCAAGAACAGTGAAAATTGAAGATGACATAATTTGAAGCCCCCAATTCACTCAGCAAACAGCAGACTTGCTCTCTTTTAATGATTCCCTTTCCGTGCCTGCTGTGCTGTAAGCAGTAATGCCAGCGCGCTTCCACCGTGGACTTTAAAGGCAGGCAGGATGGAACAGGAGAATTCTCTCTACTATCTCTATATCTCTGTCCTAGGGAAAGTGAGCCAGAAGTAATCCAAGCACAAAATCAAGAAGTCTTAAGTCAACAGCAGCATAAACATTTGAATAACATCATGAATGAAGAGAAGTTAGAGTGAAGTTAAATAGTTAACAGCACAGCCCCCTCCCCCAGCTAGCTCACATTCCATCAAAACTACGTGGCAGACTTTATTTGTTAATAATATTTAACTTTCTTTGGCGCCTTCTCATACTTAAGCCTCTTTTTCAGGTTAGTTGTAGACAAGCCATGAATTTGTAAAAGTGCACTTGATGACACATTAATAGGACAATCTGTCATATTGCAGCTAAACAGCCTGACAGATCCACACACCATGGCAAGAAATGACATTCAGAGCTGGAACGGGGCGACTGCTTTTTTGCTCTGCTGGTGCAGGCTGCCCTAATTGCAACATCCCCTTCCTCATCCCAAGAGACGAACGCCAGGGCTGTGTTAGCCTCGGAACAGGGGGAAATGAATCTGATCCACGTGCACAAGCACAAGGCAAATTACTTGGTGGTCCATTGGGATAAACCCACTGCAGCTACACTGCCCGTTGCACGCTCCGGGGGTGAACTAAGCGCGTTGGCACAGTTGGGGCATCTCTCCTAACACCCAAATCACCATCTGTACCATCTGCAGAAACTGCCATGTGTTGCTGCTGCTGTTCTCACTGTGCAGCTGCAAAGCACTTGGATTTTGTCAGTTCATAAACACCTGGAAGGGCATTTCAATACCCTTTGGCAAAAAAAAAGGGGGCTGATGTTGTGTTTAATAGCAATGAAAGGCAGGGATCTCAAAGCAAGTGAAATCCCAAGCAGCGCTCGGCACCATACGGCACTCCTGTCATACAGCCCTTAGCTCCAAATCCAAGGATTCCCAACATTAATCGGCTACAAACCCAAACCGTGGGTTGGCCTGATAAATCAAGCTGGTGGAAGAGCAAACCTAAAGACAACGGCAGCCAAAAAGAGGCCACAGGGAGAAAACCCAAGAGCTCGAGGCCCCATCAGCTGCTGTCCACAGAGCACTCGAGCACAAGCGACTGCATCCCACGTTTCAAATAAACTTCTCAAATAAACTTGGGAATTAGCTATTCCCAAGTGAACGCACATCCCATCACGCCCACACGGGACCTTGGCGGTCTTCTCATGCCATCTTGTGGCAAAGCTATAGAAACAAGAGCCTCTTGCAGCCACTCTCGGGTCCACAAGGCTTGAAACAGGAAAAGCTTCGTGCTAGGAACCCAAATATTCACCCATTTTAAAAAGAAATTCCAGAAATTACTTCCTAATAACATGAGATGAAACCCTTAATTTTCACAAAAGAGAGCAAAATAACCTGTATAGGGTGAAGAAAACACAGAATCTTTCTTTAATAACTTGGCAGCAAAAAAAAAAGGAGGGGGGTATCACCTTGTACACTTTACCATTTGTTACTGGGTTATATAATAAGACATTAATAGAAAATTACCAGCAGAATTTTAGAGTCTTTCTGAAAAAAGAAAATTCTTTTGAAGCACCGACCTTTTGTGAAAAACCCAGAGCTGGCCATTTTCTGACTGCTTCCACACCTAAGGCAAGTTGGAGAATCCACGGCATGAGTTAGAAGCAGCCCATTTTTTTGATTCTGCGTATGCAAAGCTCCTCCAAATATTTGGTTAGATACTTAACTATCAGAACTCTCAACCGGCCCATTTCGAGTCCAAGCACATGCACAAACACAAAAGGAATTTCTTCCTAGAGCATTTGCCTGGCATAGGGGCAAAACGCCTGTCGTCATATGCAAGACGCAAGACTAGACTTGCACCCTGGATACTGCAGCACAGCTATTCCCAACTGACTGGTTCCAGCAATCCCTTTCCTCAAAAACCATCCCATAGAAAGTGTAAATTTTAATATGAATGTTTATTATGAAGAAATAACTTTACAACGCAGTCATTTCTACTCCTGTGTACATGCTAAGGGATATAACTTCTGTGAATTTGAAATGTTGGATGGGAAAAAAACAAGTTATGACTGCACACAAAGCCAAGGTTTTGAAAATCAGGAGATTTTTAAAGGCTACCACTGAGAAGTCTCCTGATGGGAGTCACAAAACTTCCCTACTATCTGTGCATGGCAGTCCCACCTAAACCCATGAAATTGTAGAATGAAAGTAAAGAACCATACATTTCTTCCAATATACATGAAAGAAAACCTTTTCATTTTAATGTATTTTTAATATATTAAGTAATAGAGGGCACAATTACACTTCTGGGTGGCGAAGAGTGCTTTGCTTCATTTACTGACTTTGGTAACAAAAAGATCAGACTGTTAATAAGTGTTTTTTGTTTTTTTTTCTCCAAAAATCAGTACAAGCTACACAGGAGTAAATAAATCTTGTTATCAAAGACAAGGAGCAAGGACATGTATAAAAGTTCGGAAAAAGTGTGCAAGGGTTCAGTCATCTGTCCCTCCTAACTTCTCTCAGACTGCACCTGAATTGACAATTAAGTCTTTCTCTGAAACCTAGGTACTGAAGAGAAACTGGAAGACAAATTCCTTTGAAAAATAACAACAATTAAAAAAAATCAAAACCAAATCCTCAAAATTGAAAGTCTTTTTTAAAAAAGCAACACATCCAGGGTTTAATTAGTGTAAGTTTTTGCTGCTTAGGGGTAGCTTAAGGCCAGCTTCTTGTCACATAACAAAAATGCCTTTCCTAAGAAATTACTATCTCCTGATTTTACCATTTCTTCTCCTTTGGTTAGTTAACGCTTCCCAAGAGAAATGAATACTCCATGCCCAAGGTCTCCTTGCCTTTGTCTGCCTTTATGCGGATAAAAACTTCCAGAAGACAAAAACAGACAACGAGTTAGAAACTTTTGTCTGTAGGCAATGATAGAAAAAGGCACTGTGAGAACACAAACATGTTTGAATTACATTATGCTCTGTAAGGCGTAACAGCCCTACTTTGTATGCTTTGAAGATGAAAATATACACACACACACATATATATATGTATCTGTCCTTGGAAATCTTATCATGCCAGGAAAGACAGGACAACTCCCTTTCCCTCCCGGAGACCCCCAGACTGACAGGACATAAACGTTTTGGGGCACAAATACAACTGGTGCTTCTCTTAGGAGAGCCGGTTAAGCACGTACGAGAAGCAAAGTTAAGAGCAGTTAAAAATAAGATGGGATCAAAAGCACAAAAATCAAAAGTCAAAATTTATAAATACATTTTTTTAAATCCAGCCTTTTTCATGTTCTGCCTACACGCATCTCATTTCTTCCTTCCCTTCCTTACCTCAGTAAGATCTGCTTTAAGATTTCTTTAGCACGGAACTCTTCCTCTAGTTCTGGTAATTACTACCTATTGCAGAGAACTATTAACTTTTACTTATTTATTGATGCTATAAGCTATATGGCTCATGGGTTTACCACAGTTTGTGGGTTATTTTGTCCCTCCCCAACCCCTCTTGTACAAATCAAGATACCAAGGAGAAGCAGAGCAATCAAACAAATCTGAAAAGGAAAAATAAAACAGCTTAAAAATTCTTAAATACATGAGGTAATATTTATTGGGCTCTTCACAACATTTAACAAAGAATATGCAGTTAAATGCAGAGCTTTTTACCCTGCCATCACCTTTTACAGTTTGTTAGATCATTAACAGTGAGTGCTTTCTTCCCCAGATGACATCACTGTTAATTATGAAAGGCACAGTAAGTTTGCCTCTGATAAGTCAAAGCATTT